TGCGGGGCAGCCCGCGGGTAGGGCTGCGCTTTGGAGTACAGGGGGCGCTTGCTCCTTACGCAGAAAACAAGCTCTGATCGTCAGCCAGGCTTAGGAACCAGTGGCTGAGCCGGAAGAGAGGATGAAAACTTCACACTGGCGATGCTAAGCGCTGTTTGAAAAAATCTAACCCTCTAATCTCATCAGTTTAAAGCAGCTCAGGAGGGGAAAAGAATGCAACACTTAATTCATCAGTGAAAATAACTGCTAAGTGTGCGCCTCTCCCTTACTGTGGCTAGTCAAAACCGAGCGCGTCGGAGGGCAGCGCCCCACGGGAGGGCAGTGAGCTCCCCGCGGGGCGCCCCAGGGGGGCCCTCCCAGCCGTGAGGGTGTCGGCACACGGGAAACATGCCCTGGCCGCTCGGCGGGGCCCGCTGTGAAACACTCACGCCCAGCCCTTTCAGTCTGCTGTGATACTGCTAATGACAGCAAAGGAGGGAAACAACACCTCACCAGACCAGTCACTGATCCGATGCTTGCAAACTCCAAATTCTGAAGCTGAGCAGCCCCTTCGGCTGGTGTCGGGAAACCTGCCTCACTGACAGCCAGCTCAGCACAGAGCCGGAGCCCGGGGCGCCCTCCCCGCGTGGGCACTAACAGCCGTAATAAAATGCCCACTTCCTTCGGTCTCCTGCCCGGTGCCTCTGCGCCTGTGACGCCAACCGACTCCCACGTGCAGGAGCTGCAGCCGGGTGCCAGCGCGCCCTCCTCCCCCAGCGGCAGGGAGCAAGGCGCTGGGCCCCGGGCGGGAGAGGCGGCTGCTGCCGCAGTCGGCAGAGAAAGCAGCCAGGACCCTTGCGGGGAAGCAAGCAGGGAGCGGCCTCCCCAGCCGACCAGCTTTCTCCAGAGAGGAGGGCAAGAAAGCCGCGTCCCTCTGCAGCGCAGTAAGATGAGATGAATGGCCAGGCCGATGACGCCGCGCAAACAAACACGACTCCCTGGGGCTTTGAAGGCCGCTGAAGATTCAAGGTCCAGCGTGGACCCATCACTGCAGGCCGACCGCGGCCTCGGCAGGCTGCAGGCTGCCGCCCAGCGGGGTCCGCAGGGGAGGCCAGCTGCGCCCCGCCCGCTTCCGACACGCGAGTTGGCCCTTACCAGGCCGCTGGTGTGGTTGCACATGTCCCACAGCGGGATCAGCGCCAGCGTCACCCGGGAACCATCCTCCGTGGGGATCTGGTTTTGCCGAGTCATCACAGAGGAGACGGCCCACCTGCAGGAGAGGAGAGAGGTGACCTGGGCAGGCGGTCAATGCGGCCCGCGCCAGTCCATGCGTGTGCCTGACACGCCTGCCTCTTCAAGACCTCCCTGTCCTGAGACCCCAGCCATGGCTGGCCTCCTGAACCCACATCCAAAATTAAGTCTTGGGGGGGAGGGGAGGGAGGGGGGCTGAAGGAAACAGGAGCCAGAAGAGGCTGGGGCGGCAGTTTCAGGGTGGTGCTCCCCAGAGCAAAGGGGCTGGAGGAGGGCTGCGGAGAGGGGTCTCCGGCCTCTCAGGCCTCTGGGGTCTTGCACAGAAGGACAAAGACCTCCCACAGGTCCCTTCCCTCACCCCAAAATGCGGGCTCCACGCCTGCAGTCAGCCCAGGGTCAAGAATACCCTCCTTTCTGACTGGGAACCTGCTGAGGCCGCTATGAGGCGGGGGCCGCTCTCCCTTACGACGGTGAGTCGGGAGGAAAATCTGTGTGTTCAAAAACAGCTTCATATCACTTTACACTAACGTCATCTATTTAAAAAGGAAAAAAAAAAATCCTGATAACCACCCCACTAATGTTAACCCTGAGTATCATCTGGTCACCTCAACTAGCCCCCGGCCACTCAGGTTACTGGGCCCCAGCTCGTCCCTCTCGACTCTGGAGAGATGGCCTCCGTTCCCACACTCAACCGGCCACACAGGTCCCTGCTTCCTGAAGCATCTCTCCTCTGCAAAGCCCCAAATGCCCTTAGAACCACCCCCAAACCTTACACACACACCCCTCAGCCCACCTCACATCCCGCCACCAGAGGCATGCACGCGTGTGCACACACACACACCAACCTGTAGTCCTCGTAAGTGAAAGAATCCTTCAAGGGCAGTTTGTTGGCATGAGGATGGGTCTGGGAATTAGAAGTTTTAGAAAGCAGAGGTGAAAAGAGAAAAGGAAAAACAGGAATCAGTCAGCAGAATTTCATTATTTAGCTGCCTAACAGATCCTAACAAGAGCCAAATGAAGCGGGCGGCGTCCAGCGAGCTACTGAGGGATCATCGTGCTATTATGCTCTCATACATCACTGTCAACTTAATTTGTTGTGCCCAGCAGCCGCCATAAATCTGCTTCTTCATATTTCGATGCCAGGGCCCACAGACACCATGCAAAATGCAGTTTAAGGGGGACCGAGTGTGCGAGCGGCGGGCTCGGCCTCGCGGCCCCGAGCGGCAGCCCGGCAGGCAGAGGCCCAGACCTCGGCCTGTCTCCACACAAGGCGCAGCCAGAGGACGGCAGGTTCGGAGGCTCTTCCCTGCCTCGACTTTGGGCCGGGCAGGCAGCCTGCGAGGTGCTCAGCAGCCACGGGCAGCCGAGCACAGCAAGTCGAGAAAAACACAGGCCTGGGGTCACAAAGTATGCCCCCCACAAACGGGCTAACAGAGAAACCCGCATGCTTAACTCTTTTTTTCTTTTTCTGGACAGGAAAGCATTTGGTAAAAATACCCAAAACTCCACACTTGGGAGTAAATTTTAGGTATTCCGTCCTCTCTCTTCACAACGGCCACCCCGCACCCCGACCTTGCAAGCACTTAAAAGCTGGGTCTCTGTTAAGAAATTAAAACCTGCAACAGTCTGGTCTGAGGCGTCAGTTTCAACGACAGTGTGACGGGCCGCAGGCGGCTGCCTGAGCCCGGAGGCGCTGAGACTCGACGCGGCCGATGCGGCCTCCACAGCGGGCCAGCGGCCGGGCTCTTACTCGCGACGCATTAGCATCTCGAGTGCACAGCAATTTATCACGGCTCGCTGTAATGCGCTCGCTGGCACCGTCGGACAGCAGGGGGTGAGGTAAAAGTGGCTGACCGTAAATCAATTAGAAGACAAAAGCAGCGCTCAGTGCAGTTTTAGGCAGATTAGGTGCCACAAAAGGCTGCCCATGTCGGTGGGTGTGGGCGCCCAGGTGCCTGGGCCTCCCCTCTCCCAGGCCCAGCTTAACCCTTTGGAAGAAAAGTCAAGACATAAAAAGACAGCCACATAGCTCGCAAAGGTTACAATCATGAAACTGAATTAAAGGTCTCGTTTAACACATAAAGACAACATGTTGCCCAAAGGGACTCCCGAGCTGTGGACAGGAAATCCTTATTTCTGGGTGAAAAAAGCCCATACTGTGTCACCCCCAAGGACGATGCCAGGGTGCAGGAATGCAGTGTCTTCCCTCCTCTGTGACAAGTGGAAGGCTGGTTGTCTTCTAGGCTCTAAAGCTGCTGCCCACCCCACGACAAAATATAACCACGACATTGTCTGGGTTTCCTCAAAAAAATAAAAACACAAGTGCAAACTCAGTAGATAAGAACTGTCCCTCTGCCCTAAAATTAAGTGGCACCGAAGAAACAGTATAGAAAAATTTAAAGAGCCTCTAAGAAAGCAGATTGTGTGGCTCAGCTCTCCTCTCTCGGTACTAGGAGGAGCCGCCCAGCAGCCGCCACCCCCAGGCTGCATACAGGCTCCCTTCAAGTCCCAGGAGGGAAGCTTTGCTGTTTTTGTTATTTTAAAACACTTCATTTAAACTGTGGAATGCAAGCACCGTGGTATTTGCAAAACCTGTAAACATCAATGCAGAGCCCCTAATCATTAGAGCTCTGACATCCCACCCCCCAAGTTTGCCTTTTTTACTAGGAGAAAAGATGACAATTCTCACGCAGATCACTGAAGGTCAGTGCAACCAGACTCTCTCCCCACACAGCAGAGTCCTGAAATGGCTGGGGGCCCCGCAAACCCCCCAAAATGAACTCTCCAACATGTTTCCCCTGCTATTAATTTATAGACATTTCTTACCGAAAAGATAAGTTCATGTTCACAGTCCTGAAGAAGCCGTAATCAAGGACAAAAATGTGCAAATGCTTCCCTTCCGATTAATTGTGGAATTGTTTTGACTGTAGGGTTACATAATATTTGCAGAATCTGTTAGAAATAGTTGTTCTTATCTGCTTTAAAAAACGGGCGTGCTGACTATACGTAATTCTGGTAGAAAAAAAAAGCTATTCTGCCACAGACACGGGCACTTACCAGTTTTACTCTATCTGACGTGGGGGGGGGGTGACAAGAAACTTCCTTGCCGGGGCTCACTGCTGTGGTGCTACCGCCACCTACTGGCGGCGCGGCAGAATGCAGGCCAGCCCCGCGCGGATGAGGAGCTCATCGCAGATGAAAACTGCGATTTATTGCAAATGGCTTCAGTTCCAGCTTTATCCAAGCAAAATTGGGTTTCTAAAAATAAATCTTTCCAACCTCTTCAAATTCTCATAGATTATTTTTTCAGGAACCTTAAAACACTCAAATGGCAAACATGTTTTGCAGGTGAATATTTAACTTTGAATATAAAGTTAAATTTTCATGTCCCCTGAAAAAATGAAAATAAGAAAAACACCTAATCTAACCCTCTTTACTGATGTTCTGGATAGCTAACAAAAATAACATTAAACTTAAATTACTCGAAAGTTCCTAACATATTTAGCTGAAAATCTCTCAATGTATACTTTACATGGAGAATAAGTGAGTGACCCCCACTTTAAAGAACAAAAATTTTGTTCTATAATAAATTTTGATGATGGGACATGTCCCCTCAATAGGAGACATTCTTAACCTGTACCTTAAACGTAAACTAGGTTAGAGAGCGCCTCAGTCTAGGCTGCGAGTCCCCTGAGGCCCAGCTACCGAGGAGGGCTGCCTGCTGCGCCCGTGGGCGGTGACCACCGCCCACGGCCGCGGCCCACCGACTCACTAGCCCCCCACAGGCCCCCTAAATTAACGGGCGTAGATCCAGCCACAGAATTTTTGCAGATTTTCCAGATGACTCATATTCTTGCTTTCTGAGCCTTATAAACATCTGAAGTCAGAGAAATGAACGGCTTGCAGCCCTACAAAGCTGATTTGTAAGAGGCTTCTTCCTGTCTTGGGCAGAGCCAGAACCCTGGAACGCTCTGCACCCAGGCCCTCCGCCTCGGAAGGAGGAACTCCAGCGGAGGCAGAGTCATATCGTACCTGGTATGACATAATCACTCTGTTTGGGGAAGATTAATATCTAAAATCATTTGTTTGGCTTCAATAAAAAGAAGTAATATTGCTAAATATGTAAGTATGACATTTTGAAGAATTTTCCATATTGCACGGGTCTAGGGAGCTCTGTTTAAGGAAATTAAAAACCACAACCATCAGCATCTTTGATCCTTATTAAAGTTCTACTACTTGCATAAAACAAAAATAAACCAAGAAGAAATTTAAATAAAACCTATGGATTACAAGAGTTTGAAGATGAAAAAGGAACAATATTCGGGCTTCAAAAAATTGATTTAGCGCGCAGCTTCTCTTTATAGTCCCTTGATAAAAATGAAATCTCCCTAACAAACACTTAATAAAACCTGTCAATATCTCTGGAAAGGAAAATGACACAAATGCATTAAGTATTAAATACCCTTGGAAAAAGTCACATATTCCATGAATTTTTGATGGCCTATCTTGACATCAATGTAAAGCCTTGATATTTATAATTGACAGATATTTAATAAAGTGTGAGAGGCGGCCACGGCACGGGCCGGTCAGAACGGCGCATGGCCCAGGCTTACCGAGATGAACAGGGCCTGTGGCTGCCGGCCGCTGCAGCCCGGCTTCCAGCTCACACAGCCAGCGTTCGAGGGGCACCGAAACAGCACTTGTCATGATGTCAACTCCTAGCTCAGAGTTGCTTTGAGAGGCTACTCATTGTTTTGAACACTTAACCGTAAGCATTTTTTCCAATAAAATTAAAAAACGAGCATTCTGATAAAACGTGTGGTGGGAATCTGTCCAAACAATTCTCCAAAGAAACATATTTAACCTGAAGAAATATTCAAAACCCTCTGTGGGAAAGGAAAGGACCAGGACACGTTAGTGGCCTGTCAGCCACAGCCACTTCTCAAGATCAGATGTCAAGAAATTACCGTCTACGCCGATTTTTCTAAGGAAACCGAGTGGAATACATTAAATAATCGCCTTCAGTGAGGCATTTAGAGGAAAGTGGCTCAGTTCATAAAAGTAACTCATAAATACTCTGTTTTAAAGAATTTATGACCTGCTTTAATATATAATCAATTGTTAATTTCAAAAATATGAGTGTTAGCCAGTGACTTACTCCTGGTTCGATCGTATCAGGGATGACAAAACACAGCTTAGAAATTGCACTAGTTCTGACAAAAACAAGAAGAAGCTAACACCATGCGATTAACATTTTCTAATTAAAATAGATGCAAGATTGCTACCAGCTCTTCTTTTATATAACACAGTAAGAGCTGGTGGGGCGCTGACCACTGTCGTGGACACCTACTTCGTGGGACGGTTCCGTTTCTTACTCCCCCGGGATAAAATCCTCTCAGAGCCACAGACTGGACCCTTCTGGAGAGGTGCAATTTCAGTTCTGGGTCGCCTGAGAGGAGATGTCCCTGGCAGAGGCCCAAGGCAGATCTGGTCTCGGCAAATTTCGGGTGCTGGCAAAGTGGGGTGACAGGCCAGAGGCGGCAGCAGCCCCGACTGGCCACCCCTGGCTGCAGTCCGGGGTGCAGGCTGAACCTCACAGGAAAGAAGCCTGACCGCTGAGGACAACCGGCCGGAGAGGGCACTGGGGAGCGACCGGAAGCAGCCGGAGCGCACAGGGCGGCGGCAGAGGCAGAGTGGCGGGAGGGGCAGGGCTGGTCAGGGCTGGTCAGGGCTGCCTTCTCTGGGACGCTGACCAGTGCCACGGTCCACTCTCTACGGGGACAGAACACGCCTCGCAGGATGACAAACGGCAAAATATTTATGAAGTCTAGAATTTGACTTGATGACCATAAATCAGAATCAAAGTGTGCCTCGTGTGTTTGGCTCTTAAGGGAAAAATCAATT